GTTTTTAGGGATTGACAGAAGGATCCACGAACCAACTGGTTAATTTTCTACAAGATATAAATCTTTGAAACAGCCTACAAAGTTTTGAGAAAATGCGTCAAAAATTGTACCAAGTTAAGACCAGTCAAATATATGACAAGATGCATTTATATACTCTAAATGAGCTTCATCAGCGAAGCAGACCATTAGTAGAGCTTCTGATCGTACCGCTGACTTTAATCCTCTACTTTAATTATGGGCAGCAGTTTTTATTTTTAAAAACGAATTAAGATTTTGAATGAGTTGGTGACTTGGTCAGTTAAGAGAGCAACAGAAACGGCACTGAATGTATCGCAGCCATTTAAGGTCGTGCGTGGTACATCATGATCATAACACTGATGAATTCTGACACGAACGAACCAATGAATCATGCGTAACAAACTACTTGCAAGTGATAGAGCTGTACCAAAATAACGAGGTGATGAGAATGCCTCATGCAGAGTTTATTTTTAATCCTTTACTTCAAGTCGTGTAAGCAGGAAACAAAATACGAAAATTTCTAAGCAGTGAGAGTCAGAGGCTTAGACTTTATTGTTCAACTTCTCATGCACAGCAAAAAGCGTAAAAAACATTCGATGTACACATACCAACTCCATAAACTATAAACAACTAGGTGGCGAAGAAGTAGTGTTTTACTACTAGGTACGGCGAAATATTACTACAGAGCCCTTCCCCCACATGTATTACCGAAAATACCGATTATTCTATTACTAAAATAATGGAATGCCGTACCAATTAATAGAGGTAGTATTAATTTACTACAAATACTAGAGCAACAGACTACTATTCTCTACTCATGATAAAATACTACCAAAATGAAGATAGATTTTTTTCTAGTAGTAAACAAAGTTCGAGTATTACCTAGCAACTAAAATAAGAGTACTAACTCACAAGTACCATAGTGAGTAAAGCATCGCTAAATTTACTAGTAACAAGTAGTAAAACATTGCCAAACGATTAAGAGAAAATAATAGTAATTGAATATTGGGAGAGGTAATTCAAGAATTTCTCAAATACCTAATAATGACGTATAAACACTATGTCTTTCATTGTTGCTAACTTACTAACAGCGTGCAATTCCATGAGGTAGTTAAACGAGTAATGAAGTAACAACCAGAAAATTAAGTACTTTTCTGCTACAGATAGATTAAGAATTTACTACTTCATTGCTTCGCAACATACACTGAATAATAAACAATGAAATAACATAGCAGCATCTACTAATAGTGAACTACTGGAAATAAAATTATTAGT